GCTTTTTCATGGGGGGGGGGCTTATGCCCATGCCTCAAGGCAGAAGTGGGGATGAGATGGTGCCATTTGCCCTGGATGTCAAAATGGCTAGTTAGGGCAAGTGAAGGAGACCATTTAAATCCTGGCCACATCCCCAACAAATCTTTGGTCGCCTACAAGTGACCCTTCCCTCCACCTCCACCTTTGATATGCGTGTCTGGCTTCCATTTTGTCACATACAGTGTGCATTCAGGACGAAGATGAAGTTGGACCATACATTTTGGTCCCATCCTCCATGTTATGGCCCCCAGGCATAGAAAATCAGCCAGTCGTTCTTTGCTGAGCGAGTCTTGCTGAGGCTGCTATGGCATAGCTGTGGCCACCGGTTGGGGAAGATCACATATCTTTGGAGGCCTGTCAGTGTAGATGTGTGTCTTTTTTTTTTAAAAAAAGGCACCTCCAGTCAATGCATGTGGAGGCACCAAGGGATAAATCCGCGGAGGTTTTGCTTTTAAATTCGATGGGTTGTGAATTGTATCGTATAGTCTTTACTTGAGTTTTTCAGAACTGGCGTTTGAATTGACTCGTGATGGCAAGTATACACAGAAACTTACTCTTTTGCATATGGATACAATAACTATTAAACTATACCGCTGAGTATATCCGTACAATAGAGTAAGAAGGTTCAAACTTGTCCTAATACAAAACGATGCAGTCTTTTGTGTGTAAAGGCACATACAAATGCGTCTAAACGACTTATGCAATAATGAATGCAAAACGGTAACACTCATAAATAACCATATTCACCTAGAGAGAGATATGGAAGACACTTGAAGGCTGTATAGGCGGGAATGCACCATATGACATGCAGAGTCATATGATCTTGTCCACCTCTACTTCGATTGTGTACATATATTATAACGCCTTAAGCGGAAATAGTATTGGGGCTGCTGCAGCACAACGATCATGTTATTTACTGCACCCTAAGCTTTTTGCCTCTAGATAGATCTTCACGCACACTGAGCCATAACATCTGTAGATGTCTCAGTTCTCATCTCTCTCTGAAATAAATTTACTTCAGCCTCACTAATTTCGGCAGACTTCGGCGATATTATCAGGATCCTAAGGGCGTCTATTCTGCAGGAAAGCCCTGCTGGATAGTATTCAGCAAGACTTAACCCTAGTACAGGCCATCATCATTAGGTTATATATGTTTATGTATATGACTATGTTATATATGATACAGGCTTGCGCCCAAATATGCAGACTCGGATGTACTTCCATGCATTTAATAATGTATTCAATATTTGCTGTCGATGCATGTCCCCAACTATGCAGGTCATGAAAGCTGAATGAGCCACGGAAAAGAGGCCATGTCAAGTCCCTTTTGTGTGGCGTATCAGGGGCAGCACCGAAAGCCAAGGAGAGGCCTCGAGTAAGCGGCTGTTCCTAGCATGTAGTGATCCTTATCTCTTTTCTCTCATTTTGAGGACCGCTGGATAAAAGAAAAACAACCCATTATCTAACTTTTTAAAAATAATAAAAAAGATACGTTTGAAGAACAATCCACACGAAAGGGGAGTTCAGAACTAAAAGCCACTTTTTTTAAAAAAAAGCGCCCCATCTTAATTCAAGCCAGCGGCCTTCAGCCGGAGCAGGATCTGTTTCCACTCAAATAAACTGAGTTTTAAACATGTAAAATGTACGACATAAAAAAGTGAGAATCAACTCCCTTTTACCACCCAACAGGGAAAGGTTAAAAGAAAGGCTGTTTCTAAATAATCGCTTCTTGGCCCGCATCAATGGCTTAGGGCAGTCCTGAGGCCGCTTTCGAGACGGGCTTCCCCGGCAGCTGATGGGAATTCAATGGCAAAATCGATGAGGTCGGGCTTGGCAGGTGGAGAGACGGAAGGAACAGCGCTTGGAATGATGGCCGCCGCCGCCTCCAGGCGAACCCAAGGCCCTCCCTCAAAAGATAGCGAACTTTCCTAACCCCTGATGAAAGGAAACACGTTCCTGTCCCAAAGACCAGTGTCCCAGCTCCTCCCCACACAACCCACTCCATTCTCCGCGGCTGGGAAGGACGAGCCTCCAGCCTCGTTCTCTCCCTGGAAGGAACACAAGGCCGAGGCTGGCCTTTCAGACGCTGAGCTGAAGATCTCCAGCTGAAGAAATGCGCAAAACACCCTCCCCCTGAAGCACCCTCCCCACCTCCCAGTAAGAGCAAGCACACATCTCCTCTTTCTGTCTCACCCTTCCCCATTTCAACTCATAACTACACATTTCCCCCCGAAAGGTTTATCCGTCTTTATCCACAAGTAAATCTCACACCGTGTGCATGGGACTTCGGGGCATGTGCGCCGACAATTATAGCTACCCGAACGCATATTCTTATGCCCACCCGCCAAAATACCAAGAAGCATAGGATCGTTTCCTAAGGCCTGGTTCACACGTGCCTCCCACTTGCTTATCCTGTGCTTGATGGCTGTCGGCTGAAGGCGCCCACAGAATGTACTGAAATGCGTCGCGTTTGAAACGACACCAAGAAAAAGGAGAGTCCGGCCTCTCTTGCCAGTCATCGCTTGAGGTTTCAGTCAGCAAGTAGGGAAGTGTGCAAGCGTGAACGAGAGAGATTTCTCACCTATCCCAGGTAATATAAACTCCTTGAGTTTTCCCAAAACACAACCCTCGGGTACGACCAAGACGGAAAGAGGAAGGACAAATGAGAATTGGCTCTCGAGACACAGACTTCAGGCGACCCAAGTTCAAGACTTTTCTCGGCTCAGAAACGCAACCCCACACGCGCTGAGCAACTCTCCTCATCGCGGGCATGAACTCTGGCAGGGATCCCTGCGCTTCTCTCTTCCTCCGACTGGGGAGGAACCGAACACTTGTCTAGCATGAGCCTCTATGTTCGTGCACGCCACCGGCAGTCCAGAAGCTCAAGGCTGCCGTTCTGAGGGGTCAGTCCTTTGTATGCGGTGGGGTTTATTTCGGATTAAACAGGCACGAGGGGTCGGTTTTAATGGCTGCAACCCTAGGAGCCTCTTACCAGAGGAAAAGAGAGAGAGAGAGAGAGCCCTCACTGAGTGCAGTGCTCCTTCGTGAGATTGGGCTAAGGTTGCCTTTATTGATTCCGACACAATCCACATTCTGCATATTCTCGCCCCATTCCACCACCCCCATCCAACTTCAGCTCTCCCTTTCTTCTTGACCCGCAGGCACTAGGTTCG